GGTCGGCCCGGGGCAGAGAGCGCTAGGCGATCCTAGGGGGGCGCGCCGGGCGGAGGTGGTCGGGGGTAGCGACCGTGCCGGCCGAGGCTGGATCGGGCCTGTGCTGGAGGCAGTCTTCTTCGGGGGACCGCGAGAGGCTGTTAAATTGCTGTCGCAGGCTTTGCTCAGCCCGGCACCCGCGGCTGGTTTGCCGGTTTCCTCGTTCTGTTCCTCTGAATAGTTTCTGAATTTATTTTTTTCAGCCAAGTTCAGCACTCGGGAGACTCTGTTTCGCTGGAGAAGAGAAAAACAAGCACCCCAGTTAAGGGGATGTTGTAGTTTGACTTTATTTACGCTTTTAAATCTACATGGACTACCTGAACTAAAAGTGCACCAATTGCAAGGAGAACTTGTGAATACCTAACTTGTGTTCATATCAGACTAGTTTAAATGTGATTTTAAAAAGGGGCTACTGGAATATTTCTTTCTAGGCGTTAAATTACTCATACCTACTGAATCGGCTTTAAAATGTCATTTGATCAAGCTAGAGTTCTATTTAATTTGGTTTCAGTATAATATCATTTTCTAAACTTTGTTAGGCAATGTTCAAGTTATAAATTTAAATTTAAAGATCTATATTATGTGTAGGTTTCCCTCCTCTTTATTTTTTTCCTTCTAAACAGGATATAATTAGCTATCATAATACTTCAATTATGTAGATCATCCCACCAAGGTCAGTAATGCTACTTAGATAGTGTTTCTCATTACTGAAAATTTTCACTTCCTACTAATTATATGAGTCCTAAAAGGAGTCAGGAGCTTTTTTTATTTTTACGCCTTTGACAGTCCTTCAGTGTTTTCACAGAAGAGCTAGTTCAGGCTTGTACTAGCTTGTATCTGCATCCTTTTTCCAGTGTTAACCATCTTCTTGTGATAGCTGGCCTCTAGCTGAGAATCTGCCAATAATCTCCTTTCTTTCCTAATGAGAGATGGTCAAATGCTCCATGTAATCAAACCCTTCATCATTATGTCAGCTGTATCCCCAGCTTTCAGTCTTTAGAATTTGGTAGCTTCCTTTACTTGAACTATAGGATCTCAAAAGTACAGCTGGATTTTTTTGAGTTTTCATCCAAAAAAGCCTCTAAAATTGAATGGAGCCTCACAGTCCTGCCCAGTCTTGCAGTTACATCCCTTAATTAGGTCAAAGAAAGGCAGCATAATGTCCTATGCTGAGTTTTCTGCCTGTGCTTTTTAAAATTGTTACAAAGAGGTTCTGAACACTTAGGAAAACTGAAAGTCTTTCCATCAAGTGAGCAACCTTCAAACTGAGTAGCCCTATCTAATACATCTTCAGTAGCTTTCTATTTTCTCCAGAGACAGTTGATAGCACCTTCTTTGAGTATCTGATAACCTGATACTTCTAACAGTGTTGAATTCCTTTTTTCCTTTTAGGCCCAAGTTTCCAGTCTGTTTCGTTGGTTTCCGCTTTCTCCAGTTTGCTAATAAGAGATTCTCTTTCTTGTAGTATCTGTCGCATCGATTTCTAGACCTAGTTTTCAAAAACGTTCTCATGAAAGGAATGTTGAAACTTCGATTCAGATCACTACTCTCTTCACTTTAGCTACAGACTTGCACTTGAGAATATTGGGAATGTTTTCAAAATACTGGAAATACTTCAGGCAGGTCATAGTAATTGTTCTGTAATCCTCTGCACCTGCCAGCTGGTTTAGGTGTGTTTCTGTAACAAGAAAAGAGCAATACTATCTAAACTTCCTCCAATTTTTTGCCTACTTAGCAATTAACTCTTACATTAGTGTCACTGCTAAGCTTCACCCCTTCCTTAAGGAGGGGGTCTTGGTTCCACCCTGCCAGTAACTGGCTTTTGCCAGACCCTTTGGTGATCCGAGCAGAACTGAGACAGCAAAAAGCAAACTACAGAAGTCCTATTTTAAACTTTTTTTTTTTTTTTAAACAGGTTCAGCTCAAGGACCTGGCCTGCTCTGGTTCACACAAGTGTCAGCCCTAACACAAGGGAGGGCATGCACTGACAGTAACTCCAATTTAGAGAAATCCCACTACTATCCACTAAATCAAATCCATTGAAATGTCAAACCCAGACTGAACAAAAAAGTAGGTCTATCAGAAGACACAGATTTAAATTGCAGGATTATTTTAGTGATGTACAGAATTGTCATCCCCTAGCTCTAATGTAGCAGGTCATCTCCTGACCTGTTAAGCCAGCAGCTTTTACTTCCCTCCTTCTGGTTCCGATGCTTATCTGAGCACAAAGTTAGTTCAATTTGCTAATCTGACAAAAACCTAACCCAGTTAAAAAGAAAAAGGTGCTAATAGATTTCTGCTTGTTCAGTGAGTTTAATAGGCTTAATCGGGTCATCTTGTGAGCATCAGTAACACAGAAGAAAGCAGCAGCAGCTTGTGGCCGGGGGCTCTGAGGAGACAGAGGGAAAGCAGGTCTTGTCCTTCCCTTGTGGCATCTGGTGGTGAGGATTAGATGCCTCAGAACACATCATCTCACTTTCAGTAACTTAAATATTTTTGTAATCTGGAACAAATCAAAGCTCAGTTTCTTATTTCAAGTGAAAGAATATCAGCGTTCTAAAGGGAATTATCAAATTTTGAAAAATCTCATTTTTTTTAAATAACTAAGAAATCCATTTCAGCACCATTTCACTGGTATATATTAATTATCCATCTTTGTGGCATGAAATCGTAAGGAAGATCATAGTTCTTCTCACCCCTGCTTTTTACACTTGCAGTGAAAGGCTTCTGACAGATGCAGTGGTAAAAGCCTTTCAGTTACGAATACAAAAACTAACTTTTATGACTGTAGTGGCAGATGCACTTGTCCTTGTTTTTCTTTTGCCATGACTACATAGAAATTTAAATATACTACCAAGGCAATAAACCTAAATAGTGTTCCTGTCATCCAGTGTCTGTGTACTTTAGATACCTGCCAGAAAGCAAACATTATCCATAGCTTTTAGTAGTTTTAAGATTGCTGCTTGACAGAAAGCGGTAGTAGTGCTTACTGGCTCAATTTCAGCTGCAGCTCTGCAGACTACAGCATCTTCCAGATGGTTTGTTACTTGTGCTTGTTAGTTGGTTTATGTTTTACTGTGGTTATTTTGTTATAGAGAGAGAATTTTCAAGTGTTAACCATGAGTGCCTCAGTACTGGAAGAAAATGGATCTAAATATATTTTTAGCATACAAAATCCCTAAATTACTCTGACAGCTAGTTTAGGATTAAAGCATAATTTGTTTCACAGAACAAATTTAGGTTAAGGCTGTTTACACAGCTGCCTGACAGCACTTGAATTGAATGGTGGGCAGGACCAAAACGGAGTGCTTCACTGAGGATGGTAGTTACAAAAGAAGTGCTAGGAAAGGGTATGTAGGTGAGGTTAGAAGAGGGGGGAAAGCAAGAACAAGAAATTAGTCTCCTTGAAGGAATATGCCTCATGGTTGTGCAGTGACATCTTCTGATGCCTTCTTCCCCTCTTTTGTTTTGTTAGGTTGTTGCTGACAGTGAAAGACTTCCTCTCAAAGCTGTTTAAATGAGAATGTCCCTGGCGCAAAGAGTACTACTGACATGGCTTTTTACGTTACTCTTCCTGATCATGCTGGTGCTAAAGCTGGATGAGAAAGCACCATGGAACTGGTTCCTCATTTTTATTCCAGTCTGGATATTTGATACTATTCTTCTAGTTATGTTAATTGTAAAAATGGCTGGACGTTGCAAGTCTGGCTTCGACCCCCGCAATGGCTCCCAAAACATCAAGAAAAAAGCCTGGTATCTCATTGCAATGCTACTTAAGTTAGCCTTCTGCCTTGCCCTCTGCGCTAAACTGCAACGATTTACTACGATGAAACTAGCCTATGTATTTATCCCTTTGTGGGCCTTGCTTATTGGGGGTATGATTGAACTTGGATATAATATCTTCTATGTACGAAGAGACTAAGCTATACTATGTGGTTTTCAGTGCTGAGGTTGGTACCAAGTTACTGGATTATGATAGTTTTGCCACAAACTTGATCTCCAAATTAGAATGCCAAATAAGAAATCAATCGAAGTGGAGACTTTATCTAAACCAGGCTGAAGACTGAAAATAGACTTGTTCTGTTTTTTATTTTAAAACTGTCACATATGCTCTTGTAAATAAAATTATTTGTTCAACGTAAGCTGTTCTAGTATGATTATTATAGTTATTTGTTACATGGAGTAAGATACAGGCTCTTCATTGAGAAGATCTTCTCAAAGGAACCACAAGCGTTCTACCCCAGAGCATTCAGCACATTGGGTAATCCTTGTAAAGAGGACTTAAGTTTTCTACTATTTTGCTGTCACTCAAGAAATAACCGGTTAGCAGTAATTTCTATAAAGTGCTAAATTTGAGAGACTTTTTGCCCACTCACAGGAGCTTCCTGTGAAAAACTGGCTTCCTTCACTGTCTTTGTGACTTTTCAAGTTAAAATCGCGCTTGTGATTAGGATTAGCTAATCCTAAGCGCAGGGGGGCAGTGTCCATCTCGGCGCATGCTCTTGGGCCTGCTGAGTACAGGAGATACAAGAGCAAGCACACACATATACACACCCTATTTAAGTATACATATGTGTGTGTATATATATGGTATAGAGAATATGCTTAATTCATACATCCAATTTAGGTCTTCCAAGCAGTTCTTCAGTTCTATCAAATGGAAACTAGGGCCACTGAGCTTCCCAGGATGCAAAATTCCAACTATGGCCCATGGCAGGCAAGCTAGACCTCATGTGGGATTTTTATTGGGATGCTTGAAATATTTACGGAGAAGAAGAAAGTGTCTAAAGACCTATCTCCAATTAAGGTAAACTTTTATGAACCACTTAACAAACATCGATGCAAATACATAACAAGCGTTTAAGCACTTTAGACAAGACAAATACATATATATACACACACACACTCTCTCTCATCTCTATTTTGTGTTAACAGATCACTGTAACTTAACAAATGAAGGGAGAACAAGAACCAGCCTCATTAGGACTTGGTATATTATTAGCAAGATAAGCCACAAATGCTGACTCTGCCCTCTTAATAAACCCCTTCCATTCCACAGATGTAACAATTATCTGAAAGTTTGGCATCTCTAATTAATTAGAATCAAACAGTTGTTCCAAATTGCCTTTTAATTGCTGCCTCTAATTCAACAGAAAAAGACCAACAAGTGCAGTGTTTTTGTTGTGGGTTTGGCTTTTTTTCTTTTTCTTTAAAAAAAAAAAAAAAAAAAGGTTTACAAACCTTGAAATAAACAACAGAGATTTGGAAAGCTGAAGCAGGCATTTCTTTCACATACAAATTGATTTCCTTTAGCACAAGATGTTTTTAGGGCACAGCCATTTGGAAGTGCTCGACTTTGTTTACAAGTTCCTAGTCCTTACAGAGATACTTTGATAAAAGGAATATCCCTTTTCACTTAGTATTTTGTATCAGATTTAACTGACCTGAACTGTGCTGACACCTTTGTACACCCAGTCTTGCTTTTTTGTGATATCAGAACTTCATTCAAAAGGATGTATGATACGAAGTACACTGTAGCCAACTGCGACCTTTCCAGAAGCTGTGGCAGGAATTAACTGCTATTCGTAATTACCCCGTTCTTAAAGGCACTGGTCACAGCTTTGAAATGGAATGCGTTCTCACACTTTTTCTTAAATTTAGAGACTGATAGACTGATCTTCATTAAATATAACAAAATGAGTGAAAAGCAGATTTGACAAGTTGGCAGGGAAAAGGGGAGGTTGATGCTGAGATGCTCATACCCATTTGCGAGAAACAGGCAGAAGGAAATGACGATCCAAGTACCCAGCACACTGGAGAACGCCTGGTCACAGTCACCTGCAGCAGCTGTGCTGAATGGCATTTTAAAACAAAGCCACTGAAGGCAAAAGCTTGCTGTTATGAAATGAAACGGGAAGTATTTATCATGTATTGATGATACATACATAAAATATACATATGTATTGATGATGTATATTGTATATGGAGATATATATTCTACATCATTTCTTCTCTTCAATCATTTATACAAGCTTGAACACTCCAGCATGCATTGAAGGCGAGTATCTACTTTTCTCTGATTAAGGAAAATACTCCATGCACATGTGTGAAAGGTCATGAAACTAAAATTTTCCATTACCTATTCATGCTGCTTTTCTTGATTTGTCACCATTTTAGAGCAGTATCCAGTTTTCTGTTCTTTCTATACTTGAAAAATACAATTGTGCGACATATACATCACCACCTTCAACAAACTTTAACCTAAATGTTCTAAGAACATGTGTACATGCATCCAAAATGCATTGCTAGGCACGGATGACAATATTAAAAAATAAGCTAGCACAGGACTAAGTTACACAACAATTTCAGATGGAAGCAGTATTATCTTCTGACATACATGCATAGTAGTACAGAAACAAAATCCTCATGGAAATTTTCACATTTACCCAGTTTAAAAGTTGGGTGACACAAAGGGACTGATGAAAGTGAAATTTGTGAGACTCCCAGAAACTCAGAATTCTAACATCAGTGTTAAAATAGATAACACCTACATGTTAAAATAGGTAACACCTATTATCTAATAGGTAACACCTAAAACAGGTAACACCTATTTTAACACCTATTGGGAACAAGTAACATTGCTTTTCAGTAACAAAGCTCCTGAATAACTGCATCCTCAGAAATAAGTTCTTTGAATTCATTAGCATGGAAAGCATAGCACTATCATGTAACACACCACTTCACCCCCCCCCCAAAGATTGAGCTAAAAACGACTACGCTGAGCTGGAAAAAGAGTGTTGGTACCTTTTCGTTGTACCTTTATTGTTTTAAGGTTTGGATGGAGTTAGTCTCCCAATGAGCTTTTTAGACCTGAACAGGCCTGGGTATCAACTCGCTGCTGAAAAGCATCAGGCTTTATTGGACTAAGGCAATTTAAGGAATCGCTGCAGTTGGACCACTACAGTACTATTCGATGTTAATTCAACATTTTCTCCTTGTACTGAAGTTGGATAAAGAGTAGAAAAATCTGCAACTCAGTAATGCTATTTCCTTTGGTCTGCCTTTTCTAACGAAACCAACATCACAAGCGGGCAAATGTAAGAGAAGTCTTCACACAGCGCAGAACGACAGCGTAAGAGCAAGAAACAGGGAAGAAATGAGAACCCAAGCTTATTTTATTTGTGTTTTTATCTCAGTGTTCCTTTTGAAGTTGACGAAGAAATCACTGCTAAAAGATGCTTTTTAGTCTAAGAATTTAATTTCTGAGATTAACAGAAGCTCTCAACTGTATCGATTCAGACAGACAAGTACCTGAGTGTTACTTCATGCTTAGAATATAGCTTTAGCAATCTTGACTTATGTCACATTAGTCTTTCACACACAGGTCTAATTATCAAGGTTTTCTTCTTCTTGAGACACTTACGGAATAACTTTCTCTGCTAACTGCCCTATTTTGTCTCAATACTACCAGATAAAACAAAGCCGTAAAAAGCATAGTTCCTAAAACATAGGCCAAAGCTCTACCAAACATGGCACTTTCATTCAGATGGACTGGAAATTAATTGGTAAAAGAGAACATAGTATCAAAATAGTTACTGAAAAATAAAACTTGATAAAAGCAGAAGTTTAAACTGCTGTTTTAATCAATGTTTGTATCAGATTATCATAACTGTACACCAAACATTAAAGGACTATTTAGGACTCGTGCCCTCCTCAGTAGGCTCATCTACCAGCATGATCAGAACATGAGAAGATCAGTGTTTAGCTGGCACTCAAGTACAGCACGGCTCCGAAGCAGAGGAAATATTAGCATCATAGCACAGAGAAAAACAGTGGTTAGAATATAATACACTACATTTGCAAAGTCAGTATCCCTGATGATTCTAATAGAAATATCAACCTAGATGTTGTGAAGTTAATCACTGCTTCTGAACAGAACAAAAAATAACTTGCATTTCTAAGAAAAATGAAATGAGTGACAGACGGGAATCAAAGTTTCCCAAATTTTCCCATGTATGCTGCAAATTCAGTGGGATCTGCACAAAATATCAGTATCACCTATTATACAGTTTTTAAAGTGCATTTCATCCGTTTGAAAAATAAAATTATCAGTTGAACACAGCGACTCACAATCAAAGAAAACATTCTCAGCAGTGTCATTCACAGCAAAGCACGGATCAGTGAAAATTTGTCCTTTCCATTTCCAACTTGTATACATTCACAGTAAGGTAACAGGCACTGGTCTGCCTAAAGACAAGGTTCTACATATCTGACCACTAGAAAAAATGAGTAAAATTACACTTGAGAAGCCTGCAAAGTTCTTTTATCTCTTGACCAGAATTAGTACACTTTTCATCCTAGCAGGGTCAGGCGGTAGTCTACTGTCTCACAACAGTTTATTTTGCCAACAAGCATGGAGAAAACATGGATTTATTTCAATCAATTCAGCATCCTTATTCACATGCAGATATTAGAAAACAGTCATTTTGATCAATGAATACCAGTTTCTTGGAAGACTTATTCAATGTTCCAAACCTGTAATGTTCAGATCTGTTTCACAGCATTCTACTATTTTATGTTTCCATTTCCTACATTGTTTGCAATGCCAACTTATTTACTGTGCACATGTATATCTGCTTAAAAATCGATTTTATTTATCACCAAGGAATTCTTTCACAGATGAATACTTAAATCATCACCCTCTGAAATAATACTTTATTTCTAATACTAGATAGAATTAATATTTCACTTAAAGAAGTATTGAAATATTCACTATAGTAACAAGGAAGGGAAAATCTGCATGCCAGCAGTACCTGTAATGAAAATGCTGTTTCAGAATCAATTTGCAGGCATTTGGAGGGCTGGGGGATGACACAACACTGAGTAACACTTGTATGTAACACATGAAGTCAGTTGCCAATGAAATGCAAAAGATCCAGCAATTAAAAAAAAAAAGTAGCTACCATCTTGAAAGCTATTGGTAGTGACAGTAACAATGCAATTCTTTGCTACCCACAAATATGGTACCAATATCTAGGAAAACATGTCTAAATTTCTGCACATCATGTCATTAACTGGAACACCACTGCGGACGCACAGATGTCAATACCATTGCAGTACAGGCAATAGGCCTTGAGCAGATTTTTCCAATCTGCAGAAGAACAAGGGCCAAGAGAGACAACTAAAACACTGGAGATTTCAGCCAAAATAACAGAAAGATTTATGTATCACTGAAATCCAGGGATGGGGAAAAAGCAATAAGCAAAGACTAGTTTCAGTACATCAGAAGGCATGAAAGATTTATTGCTGAAGCAAAAGTCCAAATATGAAGTTGATATGGGAGGAATAAAGGTTATAGAATAGGACCACCTGAAACCAAAGCGAGGCCTCTGTCAGACTAATGAACAATTTGGGAGCTGAAAATCTCAGAAAAGGTACTCCCCTCTTAAAGAGCAACCGCATCAAAATGAATACACCACAGGTAGAGGACAAAAAACAACTTACTTTTTTTTTTTTTAAAGCAAAGTAAGAAGCTTACACTAATATAGCCGGTCAACTCAGACTGTTTACACCTTTGAATAGAAAGGGAGTTCTGACAGCCATTAGTAATCCCAGCATTGTTCATATTCTGTCTGCAAGGAATTCTGTCTAAAAATGAGAATCTAGTCTGTCTCAAAAATAAAGGATGCATAAACATTGCAAAAACTGCCACTTTTTTTTAATCTCTTAAAATTCTGAAAGTGATAAAAAAAAGAAAAAAAGGGGTTGAAGATATAGGCAGCTTAGAAGCAAAATTTCAGAACCAAGACATACCTGAGCAGAAGTTTGAGGCCGTATCAGCCAAGACCACTGAGCAGGTCTTCAAAAGGAAACAAAGTTCTACCCTTAAGTGTAAAGTCGTGTTTGCTAAACCATTTTCAAAGATTTACTTTTTCAGTCTGGACAGGGCCTATGATGCAGAAAGTTGTTTGCTGTCAAGGGGGATGTATACACTTTAGTAAAATCTGACAGATTTAAAAAAAAAAAAATACTTGAACCAGAATGAATGATCAGCATACAAATAAGATTTTTTTATTTTTTTGAAAGTAAACTAAATATTGGGCTTTTTTTTTTAAAAAAAAAAAAAGGCAAACCTATCTGGCAAGGCTGGCTTTGATACAGCTGGAGCCTTCTGCTAACCCACTGGGAAAGCTGCATGCTTGGTGCAAACTACAACCTGCAGCTCTTCTCTTTTCCTGTTCGCCAGCAGCTGGCACAGAGAACGGGAATGGAAGGCTACATAATTGTGTACGGATGTTCATAAAGCCAAAGAGATTATGAGTGGAAGTCTCCAGATAATTCAGAAAACACAAAGGGAGCTGAGACCACATTTCTATCAGGAAGGCTCAAATTCTTACGCGAACAATTAGTTTTTCAAACCAGATTCTGCTAACGTAATAACTTACCATGTCACACATGAATCATTTGCTCATGGAGTGAGGGGAAAGCAAGATCCCTGAGGCTGCAAAACTGGTAGTAATCTCTTAGCCAACGTTAAAGAAAATAGCAGTAAGACTTAAGGACATATCAGCCACATCCAAGAGATTCATGTTTCTATTGCTTCTCTAATACGTAATTATGGCTATGTAGGAGTAATGTTTAGCAATTCAAACAATTGATTTAGTTAATTCCTTGACAGACCTATTTTAGATTTAAACAAATCAGGGCACACATTCGTTAAATGGCTGATTTTAGTGCTAGGCGTAAGTACGCAGTAACATTTTGAATTTTAACAACCTATAAGCAAAAAATGTCTGCAACAAAAGGGCCTCAGGTAGTTGAATTAGACATCACCTAGAAATCACATTGTTCTATTGCTACAAATGAAGCCAAAGTGATCACTAAGTGCATCAAAGGTTATAAACCAGGTACGTAAGGATGTACAACTTTCAGAAAGTTATAGGGAAAAATACAAAAAAAAATTCAGAGATACAGAGGCCTCTGGAAACAGCCACAGGCCTAGGACCTTAAGTTTTAAATACTTAGTTGAAGGACAGGCTGTAGGGCAGTTTACTGCTATTTGTAGCTACCTGAAAAAGAAATATCATTCAGATGTATTTGAACTATACAGTAATATGTTACACAAAGAATTAAATAAGTTAAATGACAAGAGTTTTTGCCATTACCACATCAGATGCTAGCTAGCCTTGAAATCCTCTTCCCTCAGAACACAAGTTAAGAGAATTCAAGTGTTCCATAGGCAGGGAAAAAGGAGAACGGTTAACCTAGACGCCACTATTATTTTCTTAATGAAACAACTCTTGCTTCCAAACTGGGACTCATGAGGAATCTTCCTAATAGACAGATCTGCAAGTATCTTTATTGCCTGGCGCTATCAGTATAGGGAGCAATTCAAATCCAAGTGTGTCTCAGTGAATTACAGGTCACTGCCAAAGTTGAGGCCTTTATAGCTTGGTAAGTAACCATTTAAATATTCTTTGTTTTAATTTTAGTCAGATAACTGATTTAAGTTGAGGGGGGTGGTTGTTGTTGGTTTTTTTAATGTGAAATGGAACTGTCCTAACTGTGGCTTGAGCAGGGGGAGGAGGTAAGCATAGAAGGGAGTTTGCTCCCTTGCACCAGCTCATCTGGAGAGGTGCACACAGTTACTGGCAGCGCTCCTGGAGCCCTCTGGCTGTCCAGCCGTCCTCCACAACAGGGGTTTTGCCTCTCTGTTCCACATTCACATCTAACAGCATGAGTTTGGGGAGTGCCTTTAGTGAGCAACTGTAAGGAATCCTGTGAAGGGAGGACTGATTTTGCATTCTGACTAATCTTGAGTTACAAAGAATGCCTCAGCTCTACCTCAGTTTGCTACAGCTCCTCACCCCACAATGGCGTAAGGGCATCCTATGCATTAGTGCAGGTAGAAACGTAACCATTTAGAGAGGCAGTTTAACTGAATTATTTTTTGCAGACCCAAAAATAAAACCAATCTGTTATTATGAACCTTTATTAAGCGGCTCACATTTCAGTATAAATCACACTAAAAAGATTTTTAAAAAAGATATTTACACTACAGTGCTGACACATTTAAAATGAAAAAATTGGTATAAATAAGCTCTATGGAAAAGCCTGGAATTGTCAAAAAGAATTCTGGCTCATCTTACAAAAAATATATATGTTAAATGTCAGCTCTACTCTAAAACCTACAACTCAAAATTATTTAAAGACTTCTTTATGTTAAACCTGCAGTGTTTACAGTGCATCTGGCCCTAAGTGCTTTGATACTTCACAGTTATGGACAGGCACTGAGGAATGTTACAAAGCTACATAACTATTTTCTGTAACAGATACAAAGGCAAGTCACAAACTTGCCTCACAGAATTTATGAATCTTTACATTATTACATCATTAAGATTAAAAAGGAATTTAAAACCATATATACAAATTTAGCACAAAAAATCATCCTCTCTTTGTCCATGCAGTTTTGGATATGATGAACTGTGTTGTCTTGTATCATCTGGATGTATGTGACCTCCAGGGCATAACTTGCCTTGTAAGTCCTTGTTGCCCGGTTCAAATTTAGAATCCATTTCCAATTTAAATGCCGTCAATTCAATGTGATCCAATCTAGTCTGAACATTCTGGCCCCCGACATCATTAGGTGCCACTGTCTTTT